TAGGAAATAAATACTATTAATACAATACATGTTTACAAATAATTGTTTTAGTAAGTTTACACGATGAAGTGTAAAAAAAATTGGAAGTTGACCCTCCCCCTTACCCCTCTGCGCAATTGCCTGTTATCACTATTGTTTATATATATATATATCAAGTCAACAATTTGGCCCTCCCTTAAAAATTTGGGCCCCAGCCTGGCCCACCTGGTATTAAAGTTCTGGCGCCGCCAATGACTGTCGCGCATTTATATATATACTAGCTGATCCCGTGCACTTCGTCGCCCGTTAAATGGATCAACTCAATACTACCTACTCAAACTTTGTTCAATTCATTAACGTGTATGGTGTTCAAAATTTATCTTATCTTTCCCGTTGCCCTGAATAAAAATTCTGAATCGCGGCAGTACATTATCAGGTAGGCAATCTACCTGCGGTAGATCGCGGACCCCGTGCTGTTTGTACGGAAGTGTATGATTTAACTCTAAAGTATCAAAGTTATACCAAGTTTATTTTGATGTAATACTGTGGATTAATATAATAAATTTGGTTGCTCGTAAAAAATCGCAACTCTTAAAAAAATTATGATTGTTGAACTCCTTTTGGGTGTAATTTTCTGCGGTAAGTGCAACTCTGCCACCCTGGTAAGCATTGTTCAATAATTCGATTTGATGCAAGCTTGTACCTGATCTGCCCGAATAACCAATGGCAACCAATAAATAAATGCTAATTTCTAATGTAGACTGTAACCAATGGCAACTATAAATAAATAAAAATAAAATTTCCAATTTCTATCGTGAATCTCAATGTCCCTGTTTCAGCACCTATTTAAAATGCGAATTTTGGCAAATCCTTTCTTAGCGCACGTCTATATTATAATAGCTATCTGTATGCCAAATTTCAGCCAGATCCGTCCAATGGTTTGAGCTGTGCGTTGATAGCAGTCAATCAGCTTACTGTTTTTTATATACAGATATGGTTGCCATGGTAATATGGACCCACACACACACACACACACACACACACACTGACATACATTCATTTTTATATATATAGATTGATATGAAATCTTGGTAACCTTAGTAACCATGGCAACCTTGGTAACCATGGCAACCTTGGTAACCATGGTAACATGGACACACAGACACACAGACATACATTCATTTTTATATATATAGATTTTAGGTCATTCCCGTTGATTCGACGGCTATTAAGCTTTATTTTAACGATTTATAATCTAATATAGCAATATAGGTTAATCCAATATAGCAATAATCGTAAACGTATGAGAAAATCAGTTACAGATTAGTTTGTGCCGTTATACGTGATACAATATTCTGAAATTCTGCATTCTCTGTGTTTAAGCATTATGTTAGCCAAACATTTGCATGCAATTGTTCAATCGGAAGAAAATACCCAAGCCTTTTGAAAGGAAAGAGGACTTATTGGAATCGGCACTCCTCCTTGTGTTCACTGTGGCTCGCTAATTAAATTCTATACGAGCTAAGAAAGAGGAAAAGAACGAACAATGATACGATGAAAGAAGTAAAATGGAGGGTATAAATACTATTGTTCAAGTTGATGAATCCTTAATGCGTGGTAAAAGAAACTACAACGGAGAACGATTATTAGGGGCTGATATTGCTGCTGAAAATGTTGGTGTAGAAGAGTTGAGCGACAAAGAGGAACCTGATTTTAATAATAGAAATTATGGTAAATACTAACTGGTCCATGGGTGTTTGATATGTGTCAAAAATATGAAAATGGTGTAATTGATGCAAGATACTTTATTGTAGAAAAAAGAGACAGACAAACATTACACAAAATAATTAAAAATGATATTGAAGTTGGTACAGAAATACACTCGGATGAATGGCTGGCATATAAGACGATAGAAAATAAAGGGTACATACATAAAACCGTCAATAATTCCCAATTTTTTATCGATCCCACCAGTGGTGCTCACACACATCGCATTGAAAGTTTGCATGCGCGGTAGACCGCATATGACGTGTATAAAAGGTCGGTAGACCGCATCAACATGAATACCAAAAAAACTGTGACAAACGATTTTTAATATTTTTCATCTGCCTTTGAAACAATATACTAGGAGCCTTCTATTAAATTTTCAAGTTTTTTTAACCAACAAATAAAATGTTATCGATATTTCTAGAAAATTAAACTAAAAAAAAATGAAAAATGAAAATGTCCCTAAACAGTTCAAAATAAATCAAAATATTATGAAATTGTTATCGTGTATAGAAAATGCAAATATAAACAACTAGTGAAAATTTCATGTATCTAAGGTCATTTGTTTTAAAGTTACACCAAAAACCAAATTCAATTTTCTGAAAAATCGATTTTGCGTAAAAATTCCCGTTTTTCCTTAATTTTTCTTTTGTTTTTCTTGGCGCTTTTGAAGTACTGGGAATTTTAAATTTTGACCTCCCCAATGCACCAACGATATTCACTTTCCAATCGAACAAGATACTGAAGTCGAAAATCGAAGCATTATTCCGACTACTTATCGTGTACACAGACACAACAAAAATAAAAAATAAAAATAAAAAAGGTGGGTAAGTGGATGTCGCTCTGCTGTACAGTAGGTTAGAAGTGGGTCACTATATAATTGATGCTATTAAATTTGAATTCAATGATACAATATCATTGTATAAGAAAAACGATTCTGAGCGAAGACGGTATGTCAGTCTAGGTTAAGACAAATTATATACATATCTATGGTATTAAAAAAAATTGACATATAATAAATTCCAAATTAATCATATCACATTATCACAATATCCATTAGGTACCTATAACACGTTATACACCAACAACAAACCCTGATACTATCATATATATATAATAGTACACTTTAGAAGTTTCAAGTAGGTACCCACGAATAATATTATATAATCACAACAAAATAACTAGGTTTTTTAATATGTAATTTCGTCCAAATTTGAACATAAAATGACTATAAAAATAAACTGTGATTGTATATTTTTTAGATTTTTCGGTAAGAGAATTTACTACTTACGTGGAATCTTGTTTTAAATTTTCAATCCTTAGCTATAAAAACTGAACATTTTATAATTTATTAATTACGATGATTAATAATTTTCGAGATTTTGAAAAATTCTGTCAAAATTCGATGTTAAAATGCTTATAAAAAAAAATTGTGCCTATGTATTTTTAATATTTTTCAACTGATATTGTAACAATATATCAGGAGCCTTGTATTAAATTTTTACACTTTTTGGCCCAACAGATAAAACTTAATTGATATTTATAGAAAAAAAAAACTAAAAAATTTGAAAACTGAAAATGTCCGTAAACGGCTCAAAAAGAGTCAAAATATTTTCAAAATTGTACGGTGTATAGGAAATGCTAATATAAACATTCAGTGAAATTTTCATGTATCTACAGTAATTCGTTTTTTAATTACAACAAAAAAGGAAATTGCCACATGAGAAATCGAGTGAATATCCAATGTTGAAAAAATTTGAAGTTCAAACGCTCATAAAAATTTAATTTGACTTTCCGGAAGAGATTTTTTTATTGATAAAGGTAGACAATCTTATGAGTAATCTCGTATTAGATTTTAAAATCTTAGATTTAAAAAGAAAAATTTTTACGAATTCTTAACTCAAAATAATTTGCTAATTTTCGTGATTATTCCATATTTTGTCAATTTTGAACTTTAAATGCTTATAAAAAAAAATTGTGACTAAGGATTTTTAATATTTTTCATCTGCCTTTGAAACAATATATTAGGAGTCTTCTATTAAATTTTCAAGCTTTCGCAACGAACAAATAAAATTTTATTGATATTTCTAGAAAAAAAACTAAAAAAAAACTAAAAATGAAAATGTCCCTAAACTGTTCAAAATAAATCAAAATATTTTGAAAATGTTATCGTGTATAGAAGATGCAAATATAAACAACCAGTGAAAATTTCAAGGGTCTACGGTCATTTGTTTTAAAGTTACACCAAAAACCAAATTCAATTTTCTGAAAAATCGATTTTGCGTAAAAATTCCCGTTTTTCCTTAATTTTTCTTTTGTTTTTCCCGGCGCTCTTGAAAACTACTGGGAAATTTAAATTTTGACCTCCCCAATGCACCAACGATATTCACTTTCCAATCGAACAAGATACTGAAGTCGAAAATCGAAGCATTATTTCGACTACTTATCGTGTACACAGACACAAAAAAAAATAAAAAAAAATAAATAAAAAAAAAACACACATCATTGTAAAATCAATACATTCATCGTTTCACTCAGAATCTAAAAATAAATAAACACACATCATTGTAAAATCAATACATTCATCGTTTCACTCAGAATCTAATAATGTGCCTATAGAATACCTGAAACCTAGGGTTGCTTAGTAGAAATGTGTTAAGATACATAATTATTACTATTAGGCGTACAACAATTAGGGTCAACAATAAAAAATAAAAATAAAATTAGTAATCAAATGTATTAAATTAAAACTTTTGTAAACAATAATACAATAGTTTATCAGTTGTAGGCAAAAATTTAAAATTATCAACAAATGTAGGTTTAGGTACACTTAGAAATTATGACAGATATTAATTTTGTATGATATAATAATTTTATTAAGTTGTATTAAATATTAATACTTACAAAATATTGTCATATTTAATATGTTGTATAATATATACAATATACACTTCCAAATATCATACGAAACACGAGAAAATAAATGTTACACTTGATATTCTACATGGTATGTTTTCAGTTTTGACATTAATTATTGAAAGATAAAATAATACAATAATGAAAAATAATGAAATATTTTATTAAAAATAAAAAGATAAATTACTAAAAAATTATGGTGAGAAAATCATCAATCTGTACACAATAAAATATTTAAATACTTGTAAAACATAAAATGTGTAATTTTTAGTGAAACCTTAATAGGTCTATAAAACTATCAATGCAATTGATTAGTATAAAATCTAATTACATTTAATTTACCGTCTGCCTTGAAATCGATTATTTTGCCCACGATTGAATCGATTATTTCTATTATTTTCTCTAGGCGTTTGGTATGTGTCAGGATAAGTATTATTAGTTACTCTAGGCGGTTGGTATGTCTCTGGATAAGTATTATTAGTTTTATATGTTTTTTTACCTTTATAATAACTGGAAGTATTTTGATGATAATTATTATAAAAATCCTGTTGTTGCCCTTGGTAATAATTGTTACTCCGATTTTGTGAGTAAGGATCATTGTAATTATCTACTTGGTTAGCTGAATACGGATCAGGTTTCTCTGGAGATATATTGTACTCATTAGATTGTTCTTCAGTATTATATTCATTAGGTTCCTCTTGCGGTATATTATATTCATTAGGTTCCTCTTGCGGTATATTATATTTATTTGGTGGCTCTTGAGATACAGTGTATTTATTTGGTGGCTCTTGAGATACACTGTATTTATTGGGAAGGTCTTGAGACATATATTTATTAGGTGGGTCTTGAGATACATATTTATTAGTTGGCTCTTGAGATACATTATATTTATTAGGCAACTCTTGAGATATATTGTATTTATTAGGTGGCTCTTGTGATATATTATATTTACTGGGTTGTTCTTGTGACATAGGATATTTATTAGGTGGTTCTTGAGGTAAATTATACTTACTGGGTTGTTCTTGCTTTTTATTGTATTTTTTAAGCTGATCTTGTGTTTTACTGTATTTATTAGGCTGTTCTTGAGGTTTGTTGTATTTACTAGGCTTTTCTTGGGGAACATTGTATTTTTCAGGTTGGTCTGTTAAAAATGTAGTGGAAGTTGATGGTTGTGGAGAATAATTAGTTTCACTTTTTTTAGCTGAATATGGATCTAAAGAATATGAAGTGGTATGAGGTTCATTGTCAGGACTTTTATAAAATGATTGGTCAGGAGTGGTTTGCATTTGAGTGTTGGTAGGTTCCAAACTGTAATCCGATTTTATTTCTGGTAAAAAATGTTTTATACTACTTAAAAGTTTCTGCTGTTCTTCGGTGATTTCAAAATTAACGGTCATGTTGTTCACATCTTCGTCTTTCTGTTCACTAACTTTTTCTGTAACAGCCTTACAAACTTCTGATAGTTCATAATTATCATCATCATCATCATCATCTTCTTTAAACATAGAAGAAACTTCTTTTAAGTTAGATGGTCCCATGTCTATGTACTTTCTCAATTTTTTCACCTCTTCTGGTTTTTTTTCACCCAATTTTTTTAAATAAGTTATAAGTCCATCTTGTTCATCAGTATTCAAATCTCTGAAATTCTTCAATAAGTTAATTATGTCACCCTGAGATAATTGGTCTAAATTAATCTTTTCAACTTCTTCCTTCTTATTAACTTCTTCATAAGCAGTTTTCATCACATCGCCGTTATTTATATTTGCTAATAAGTTCTTGGCTCCTTGAATATTATCTCCGGACTGTGCCATACCTACCACAGCGTTTATGAGAGTTTCTAAATCGTTTTGTGACACATCTACTCTACCTTGTGCTAGTAATGCTTGAGTTATTTGCTGCGCAATAGCCATTTTATCAATAACACCAACTCCAGGCACTATAATTGGAGCAGTTTTAGGTATAGGTATGGGTGCATGTATAGGTGTGGGTACAGGCGTGGGTATGGATGTAGGTGTAGAATTTAACATGCTTGACGTCGGTATAAACTTAGGGGCTAACTGCATTAATTTTTCAATGTTGCGAATAGAGAACATAGTAGCATTTACTAAACTCCTTTTGACAACACCTGCTAAAAGTTGTCCTTTGAGTTTTTCCTTTACTGTTTCAAACATCACACAATTGTCTGGAGTCAGCAACTTAATTGAGGATTTGGGTTCAATTTTTTCCATTACAAGACCTTTAGACAACAAATCAACTATTTTCGGTGCTAATAAACCTAATTGACTTTCCAATACACTCAATTGTCTTAAAACAGTAATAACATTTAATGGATTTTCAATTTTAATTTTTTCCCTGGGTTTATTATTATCGTTGATTTCATTTATCGAATCTTCTGAATCTGAATTAATAGGAGACGCTCCTGCAACCCTAGGTTTTTTATCGTTAGATGGTTTGTTAATAACAATATCAGAGTCTTTTTCGAACACTTCTGATACCGGAATATTATGCCAACTATGTTTTGAATCAATTATCAACTTTTTATCTTTTAAAGGAGGAGAATCTCTGGAAGGTGATTCAGAAGAACTTTTATCCATATTAATATCACCCAGTATTTTACTTTTCAGTTTTTCCATCTTTTCATTAATTTCTTCATCATGCATTTCCTGTGTACGTTTACTCCATGAAAGGATCCATTCTGGTTTAAAATCGTAAGTATTTGGATCTTTACCCTCCATTTGCAATTCTTTGAAACGTCTATTCCAAAACTTTTTCCATTCGTCTGGATATAATGGATGATTTTCAGGGTTTTTTTCATGATAACTTAACTTTTTCTCCATTTCAATTTTCATTTCTTCTACAGCTTTTTCGTATTCTTGTATTAATCTTTTTCTTTTACTTGAATTTCTGAAAACCAAAACTTATTATTAAAACATACATTTTTATTATAAATATTTATTTTATTGTAAGCATAATTTAAATTAATAATAATTCAACTTATTGTAAACATAGTTTATATTTATATTTTATATCAGTAAAAACCCTACCTTTCTTTTTCTGTATGATATTCAGCTGAATACATATCTGGAGAGTAGAACCTAGGTCTACTAGGTGGAGGGAACCTCATAAATGGCCTTGGGAAAGACATATAAGGTGCAGCATAAAACATTCTAGGATGTGGATGTCCTGAGACATAACCCGACATAGAGTGCATATGATGCACATTTGGTGAAGGGGATATTTGTCTTCTGTATGATTCATCTCTTTCTCTGCTTCTATAACGCCTTCTGATACAAAAAAAAAATATAGACTAACAAACCTTTTTATTTTTATTTTTATTATTAAATTACCGATGACTAGAGTATTTATTATTACGGTTGTAATAAGGTGAACGAGATCTTGAACGAGAACGTCCAAGAGAACGTGAACGAGATCTTGGTCTAACCATTACAGGTGTTTTTGAACGTGTACGTGATTTATGACGTACTGGACTCCTTGAACGGCGATGTCTTCTAGGTGGTGATCTACGTCTTCTATCTTTAGAATCTCTACCTGAAAATGAATAATTATCTATTTTGACTTGAACTATTATATTTTTATATATTATATTAATTGACAACTTTACTTGATATACGCTTTCTTGGTTTAAAATCAGTATTTGGTTTAATATCAACAAATTCTATATCAGAATCACTTTCTTCTTTATCATTCTTTGGGCGTAATTGGGATTTATTAACAGCGATTCTTGGATTTTTATTAAATGTCCTAAAATGTACAAATTATTGAAATATTAATGAACTAAAAGTAATAGAAAGATGTGCCAAATATTTAATATAATTTTACTTACGTTTCAGCTTTAATAGCCTTTTGTTTTTCTTCTTCATCACGTTTATTTTTCTCGGTTACTTTTTTTAAAGGAACTTAAAATAAATAATTCAAAATTGCAACATTAAAAAATTGAAATGAAAATAATAAACTTACGCTTAATGACCAACTAATGATATTAAGATAATTAAACATAAAAAAGACTTACATTTTTCTTGTAACAGTGAAGGATTTTCAACAAATTCTGACTTAATCATATCTAACATCCATAGATCTTCTGGATTTTCCCTGTATCAAAGATAAACATAATGTACTACCAAATATTATATTCAATATTTTTTGAATTTTTACTCGAGTTTATGTAGGTGTATTCTTTAAAATGTATAGCTTGCAGTTATTATTTTTATGTTGGTCAGACAATATTTAATTTTAATGTTTTGTTTGTAGTATATTAATGATTGTCTTTAAATACGTGTTTACAAAACATGTCGGCAAAATAATGTTTTTTTCAACTTATTTACATATTAATTATGACATAAATAGCAGCCATCGACTCAGTAATACCCTTATATAAATGGCCTATCACTATTGATTACAGGCATGTAATTATTTGTATAGGACTTAGTAAAATTAGAGATGTACTAAATATACAAAATGCTATACTCATGTGAGCAGCAATTGATCACGATAAAGGAATTTGGTGGATGATGACATTGAAGATGATAAAAAGTGACCATCTAAAACTAGTACCATCTAAAATTCAATATATTTTTTAATGGTAGTAATTGTATTATTGTATACATATTTTTTAAAAGGGTTTATGACTTATACCTATTTATGTCTATAAAATATACCTTAAACAGTTAAACATATCTAATATTTACCTAAATTATATAATAATTAATACAATTTACTTACATGATATGTTTTCCATTATTTACTTGTCTTAAGATTTTTATTTTTTCAGTAGATAAATCAAATAGACTTGCATCAACCACTATTGGTTTCATTCGGCCATAAGTTTCTTCTATTTTCCCAATAACATGGAATACTAATTCTTGAAATCCTTTAGAAGACACTTTGTTTAATTTTTCCAATGCACTAGCCAATGATCTAAAATATCTTCGCTAGGGTTTAAAATGAAAATAATTAACTTTACAATGCATATTGACGATTTATGAATAAAGTAATTACCAAATATGCCATGTGATGATTAAAGCTTCGCAAGTGATTAGGAAAAGTTCTTGGATCACCTCGTTTGTCACATAATGCACACATGTACCTAGGTTCTTCAGTTGGTTCAGATGGCAATAATTCAAGAATAAATTCTATGCCTATTAATGGTATAAAAATTGAATCCAGTGTAGCTTGAATACGGGCTAACACATTATCCACTTCATCTTCCATTCCTGGTGGTATTGGTTCACCCGATACCATTGATGGCATACCCACACTTATCCCAGCTATTTCAATAACACCACATAAATTTAAAACACAGTATGAGGTATGCTGAATTATTTAATTTGTATAAAAATATATTTACTCTCTGAACATGCTCTGATAAAATTTTTTGCCGGAAAACAAGATTTTCCCATTTCTAATAAATGCATTTTGTTGGTTAAATGTTCTTCGAGCAATGACAAAGATGGAACTTTGAATGGATAACAAGCGTGACATGACCATGATCCTGTTGTTTTGTTTAAAGTTATTAAATACCCGGTTGTGCCATTATCCAAGTGAACAACTGTAGATAACAACTGCTCTTCTCGAGATAAATCAGAGGGTGCCTAAACAATTTAAAACTTTAATATATATTATATATATTTTTACTATTATAAAAATTAATTAAACGAATGCAGCTACTGCCTGATTTTATAACTTTGATTTAAACCTTAGTAAAATCATTCATTTTTATCATTGGTAAAACCAAAATTCACTGCATTGCAAGGTAGCTTAACTTAATTTAATTTATACCAAAATAACAATTATTAAAAAAATATAATTGTATATTTTTTTAGAGCTTTCTGAATAATACAATTAAGCTCAATAATTACAGGTAAACAATTAAGCACAAATACAATAGATAAAACAATTTGAAAATTATTTAATATATTATAATATAGGTACAAAATTTCAAAAATTATAAATTCATTTCAATGCACCCCTGTAATTCAGCCTTCAGGTCCAACTCCTCTTCACCACTTGTGGTGGCCTTGTTAAAGATAATTTATGTTCAGACCTTGTACCTAAGTGTAGTTAGGAGTAATATTGCTCACACAGGGGAAAATGGAATCAGCAAAGAATAAGAAATGAATATTTTTATGTTATATGCGTGAGGATATATAATATATGTTTAATGTATAGTATGTGGTTAAAATATGCTAATTAATATGCTAGGTACAAATTATTATATTTATTGTACTTTCTTATACAGTATGTCCCAGAAGTCTATCACCCTTAGAATCTCCGTGGAAAATCAATATATTTAAATGCGGATTTTTTTACAGTAATAAGTATGGAAATTCTGATTGCATAATACAAGATTTGTTTTTCTTCAAAAATTAAAAAATTATCAAAAATTTTTTTTTATGCAAATAAGTTTTTTAAATTTCCAAGATGGCATTTTTGTTGATCGTATTTTTTAAAACCGTTCAAAAAAAAAAATTTTTAATTTAATAAAAATCGGACTCTAAGTGTGATACGGGACTTCTGGGACATACTGTATAAGAAAGTACTTAATTACAATAAATATAATAATTTGCACCTAGCATAGTAATAAGTATATTTTAACCAGCACATCGCAAAACTATTACACTGGCACTGTCCATTAACATCACAGCAAGATTTTGACTAATTTAAATTAATCAATACAAAAAATATTCAAATTTGTATCAATCTCAATCTATAGATCTCAGTCTTCAGAATGAATATTGTAGTAGTAACTAGTAGGTATATAATATTTATAATATATTATATTGCATCATCAATAAGAAGTTTCTCTAGTTATTTCAGCAGTAGTGAGATTTATAATCGTATACATCAATGCTAAAATTAGACTAAAATATATAAAAATGGGTTGAATTAAACGGGAATATGAAATTCTAGAACAAAAAAATATATAAATTATAAATAAAAATGGTAAAAATATAATAAAAGGATTTAATAATTATTTCGGATTAACAGAGAAATTAGATTTCAGTTCTATTGCATTTTAAAAATAATCCTTCAATAGTAAGTTTTCACCCAAGACAATAAAATACAATAAGTATAAATAATTACATTCACGCAACATTTGTAATAATTTATATTTATAATTTATATTGTATTTTGTATTTAAGAAACTGTGTGGATGGATTGTGATGTAAAATATATGTATACTAAATTATAATACTTATTTATAAAATTAATATAAAACTGTTTAATGTTAAATCATACAATAACTATACTATTTATAAATTAAATATAACGAACATATTATAACAAAACAATTTACTTATATATATATAAAAAAAAAACTATCAACAATTACAAAAATTATAATAGCATTAATTGTTCTTGAATCTTGAGAATTTGTTAAGTTTATGTTTTAATTGCATACTTCAATATTTGTTAATTTTACTGTTTTTGATGCTGTCAAATTTTTAGAAGACATTCTCTTATTACATAAAATTTCTTCAGTTTGAGCAGATTAGTTCAATAATATAAATTCTATCGATACTTTTAATGTAAATCTCAATATCGCTTAAATATTCTGATATATTAAATTGCATCTATTGTTTACAGCTAATATTGAATTGTATTTTAATTTTATTATTATTTACTAATACATTAGGTTTAAGAATTTAAGTACTTAAATAATAAATGAACTAACAATTTGATTAAGACAAAATTTTTTTGATATTAATGCAGATAATAAATGAAATAATTAAAAAATCCTTAAAAAATTGTATTGTGAGGCAAATTTCCATAATACAAATATTTTATGGTACAATAGTTCTTAACATATATCTTACAATTCACTAAAAATAATATTTAACTATATTAGGTACATTATTACAAAAAATATTGGTGAAACAAATGTATACAGTAAATAAAATTAGGATCAACGTATTTTCATAATTAAATTTTGATATAACAATTAAACGATCAATAATACATTTTTAATAATTAGTACAATGCTAATTAATCCTACATTTCATACTTAAAATATTAATAGTAAGCCTATTAAATTAATTAATTTTTTAGATGTTAATTTAAGGTACTAAATAGCTAAGAGAAAATCATGAAATAAAATTTGAAGAATTATAAGCCACCTTGAAATATAAATTGAAATCAATTAATAACTAAATTAATTGTATTCAATCATAACTAAATAAACATTTTTCAATGATATAATACAACAGTATTTGAAAATTTTAATACATAAATTACAGTTAAAATACATATAATTTGATTTTGATTTATAAATAATAATAATAATATTTTAAATGAAATATTATTATAATCTCTTATAAATTTATAAAAGTAACATTTCTGAAATAATAATAGTAAAATAGAAAAATATAGTCTTATGAAATACCTAACTGAATACATCAATATATTATGTGAATAATGTACAAGCGAATAAATTGAAATAAACAAACATTATTACCTTAAACGTTGAACGTACTGGCGGCGGAGATGTTGATTTTGGATGTTTGGCTGGAATAAAAGGTTTGTCAATGACAACATTCTCATCTTCTTGAAAACTTGACTCGATATCAAAATCATTAAAATTTTGATAATGCATTGAAATAGCAAAATTGTAAAATAAACACTCGATAAAAAACAAAATTTATCTTGCAAAAATAAAATAGTTTATAGTATTATCACTGCACTCAAGATCAAATCTTATCAGAACTTATGCTCTTCTAGTCACTTCAATGAAAGGATGTTTCTTACGTGGTTGATTTTAGACAACTGAAAAATAACAATATATTTTACTGTTTATAATTTAGTCTAAAATGTATTTACATATAATTTATTATTTAATCAATATCCGTAGATAAAGTTATTTTGTTATTGCTATATATACATACAAGTTGATAGGTCACACAAATTTTGATGTCTTTTTCCTGATTTTGAATGAAAAAAAAAATGTAGTTTGAAGAATTTAACAGTAATATATCTAACAATACTATAAAAATCAATTTTGAATTATTGTGTATTGTTTTTTTTAATGGCAACCTTTCAAGTCTTCAATTAATATTCTAGAACAAAATACTTTGCTAAATATTTTGTAATATAAATATTGAACAGATAAGACTTATATTTAATTATATTGAGTTAAGATAGGCCGAGAGATAGGCAGAGTTCTCTTAAATGTTGTGGTTCACTACTCCGATCATAAAATAATAACAGTTAATTACAAATTCAATGTTAATAATCAAAATTTAAAAAAAAATAATCTGCTGTCCAATATTAAATTAAAGTTATATTTGACAACTTTAAAACAGTGAAATATGAGTTTAATATGCAATATTGTAAGCAATATAATTGAAAAAAATTGATTTTGTCTTGCCAAAATGTTATAAACACCTCTAACTATATATATTGATAACAATTACTAGAAAATCATGGAATTATTACCTATATCACCTTGTATATATACATAATTAAAATAAAATTACAAAGTAATATCTAATAAAGTAATTAGTATACAAAATATGGGTAATATGTACAGGTAATAGTAGTACTTATTTTATATGATATTTAAGACTTTATTTAATTCATAAGTTTTACATTACAATTTACAATGACAAATTTATAAAAATCTCAACAAATTAAAGAAATTATGGCAGTAATATAATGTACTTATATTTATTTATTTAGACTTTGAACATTTGAATTGCCTCAATCGTTGGTATCGCTATGCAAAGTCCCGCCATTGGTATTGAATGAGCGCTGCGCTCACCTCGTTGTTTTTTCATCATTATTTATTATATAATGAACATAAAATATTGAAACCAACAACGAATTATTTATAGTTTTATCTTTTACAAAAAATGTTCTTATAATTTTTCTGGATTATAAATTGTTAACCACTAAAAATTAATTTATAATATGTTATGCATAATTATACAATAATATAATCATTATCATTCATATTCACCCTAGTGGTCTGGAATATTTTACTGATTATTAAACAGTACGCATATGAATGTTGTGTGCTCCTTAAAAATAGGTCTGAGCTTAAGAAAAAGTATTTGGTTGAACTATTGAGTGAGTGCAACGCTCAATTTATGAATATTAACAACATCGCATATCGATATCTAATCAAGAATTATTTATAAAATTATTATATTTGCAAAACTATATTTAAATATGTGTCAATTGAAGGTATAAATAGTATCAGATGAATCAAGTAATAATTAAATAAGTGGCTCTCAAAATACTAATGAGGTGAGCGCCATGCTCACATCGCGACCACTGACGGGTTAATATATTTGATTCAATATTATTTCAATTGTCAATATAACTTTAGCAAATGACTCAAAACATAGTTACAAAAATATAAAATATGAATTCACAATATTTTAGAAAAATATATGTCATAAATTGACAAATTAATATTATGTGTCTTTATTATACTTACCTTTCCTTAATATCCAAAGTAGTTGTATTTAGTATAATATTATGTTGTATTGTGAAATATGATGATGTGCCATTTAAAAGTTTAAATCACTTCATTTTTTATCATTGTTGAAATAATAGTAGGTATATAATATAAAAACGCGTTAAATAATATTATATAGTATATAATATACTCAAAAATTAATAAAATTGGATAAAAAAGCCTACACATAAATTATATACAACTATATAGTATATCTCAAAAATTAAAATGCTTTTACAAAAATGTATTAATTTAATAAAACTTTTAACTATTAGACTACCTATTTCTGATAATATGTTAAAAGAAATAAACCAGAATTTGATTTTAGTTTGTAATTATTTACCTAATTATCATGTGTCATATATATAGGTATCATATATTACCAGAAATATATACAATTTACTATTTAGCCATTACTAATATATAATTCATATCTTATAAAATACTTAAAATGATCAGACAAAGGTTATTATATGAAAAATGTTTAGGTATTAATTACCTATAAAATAACCAATATACCTACATCAATCAGTATGATTGTCATATTCAAATTCAAATTAATCGCTATTATCTTTTGATAGTTATCGACTGATATTTTTAATGAAAACACAAACATGCATCAGTGTGCAACAAAGTGTATTAAATTTATTATTTTAATATGTTGGTTAGTTTGGCTGTGGACAAAGTCCTATTAATTAATTTAAAGAAACTACAGACATTTTACACTGAATAATTATACTAAATAAAAACTAATATACATAGGTATTACTTCAATAATTTTGACAATAATTATAATGTAAAAACAAGGATAAAAAATAAATCCAATCCCATGACTGAGTCACCATAGTGGTTTTTCATTTAGGATTTATAGAAGTCAGAAGTAATACGAAAAACAAATATTGGTGAGTAGGATTTAGGAACATTCATTTTGACACTAGTATATTATATTCTAAACAGGTTAATGTAGAAAATAAATAGATAAAATAGTACTAAAAGCCAATAATTTTGTTATTCATTGATTACCTATTGTTATGTTATATGGTTACTAAATGCAGTATCTCAACTAGCTTGAACCTAAAACCAAAGATTTTACAATAAATTAAAAAACATATAAAGTACTCTCATAAATATTGTATAATTTCTGTTCCAGGCTATAATTAATGTCAACTAATACTCAACTGTTCAATAGAAGTCTAGTAAATGTTTGCTAAGGGGATTCGATGCAGTGATTTTCTGTCTTTGTCAACAAGATTGTGCACTACTGCATTAGATAGATAAATTGGTATGTTTGGCAAGGAACACACAGGCGCGTTAGCCAGTAGATAGGTCTCGGGCCTACCCAGATTTTCTCTCATACAAAAAAAAAAAAAAAACATACCTATTCATATACTTGTTCACAGATATGTATACACATATTTACAACAGTATTATGCTAAGGCCACACAGAGAGGTACATACGATATATTTGCTATGCAAACAAAAAATTGTTTTCTATATTGACAACATAAATGCCGAATGGCCATACAGTTTGATGTACGCCATGGTCGCTACGTAGGGTACATCAAACATCACCTACATCAAGGTTAGGCCTTAATAAATGAAAATCAAATTATTTCACTGAAACAGTTTCATGTGTTTTGGATTGCCTAAAAATCAATTTTTCTAAGAATTCTATAAATACTACAGTAGTTGAATAAGTAAAATCCGATTCAAAACAAACAAACTTTTTAAATTTAACGTTCTTGATTTAAGTTCAACTTGTGATTAAAGTGCTGTGCAGTCTGTTATTAGTTTTCCTTGTATAGTTATTTCTGGAAAAAATTGATGTTTTCAAAGAAGTTGGTATATAGTAAGTATCTTTGGTTGGAATTCAGTTATGCTAAATCCTAAATGCCGTTTTTGTTATTATTGTCGTCATTTTCTCAGTCTCAAATGGGTTTTTCTAAATTTTTAAATCAAGTACAAAGTTATTAAGTTTGATTAGAAGAATTAAAAAAGTAGGTAGGTAATTGAATGTTTTATTATAATTCTTGAATCTGCTGTATCTAAAAGTGAAAACTTACCTCAGATTAATTATGAAAAGTCCTAGTCTAAATGATCTGATGTTACTTTCTATAGAAAGGGAAATAAATGGACAATTTATGGATAATCCATCGACTGTTATTGACGAGTTTGCTGTCATGAAGAAAGGAAGATTGGAAAGTTTGAATATTTTGAAAATATATTATAAATATTAAATTTTCAATATGTATTTTAAAAGTTATGAGTATATTAACTAATAATTATATTTGTATTTTGTAAAACTGTCTTGTATTCAGATAAGTAAAAATCTTTCGGAAAGAAGAAAGTTTATAATGGGCTTACCCAAACAAAAATTCCAAGCTACGCCCCTGAGAGCACGTCTAAAATCTTATGTCGCCTGTGTTGTGTTAGACAAAGACAGAAAATCACAGGGTGGAATCCCCTAAGTAAGCATTAAAAAAACCCATGTGTTTATAAATATCAAAATAAATATTGAGGTGCAGTTAGTGAATTGCGAGTTCAATCATGTACTTCTAACAAATTTCCTTAACGTTAAAACAAAAAAAATTCCTATTGTAGTTCCTTATTTATGAAAATGTTGTTAAAAATACAAATCATGATGATAAATTATTTTAATTATTGTCAAAAAGTATAACAAAATACAATTGAAATCTATATAAAAAATTAATAGTTATCATTGATTGACAAAATGAGTAAATAACGCCAAATGGCTGTATCACAGAGATGCAATGCAAAAAGTACAAGTATAAATACTCAAACAAATTCTTACCAAAAAAAATAATGTTAATTATATAATATACAACGGCGCCTGGCCGTCCCCCTAAATGTGTCAACAATTAGCCGCCCGGGGCAAATGTCCCCGTTGTCCCACCTTAAATACGGCCCTGCCTAAGTATAATAGGTATATTCAAAAGAATAATATTATCTTATTCAGCGAATTGAAATTCAACACTGTTCTAGAGAGTAGGTAATAAATTTAAATATGTAAGTAGGTATTCATTTTTTTTTAATGTTGATATATTGTAATAGGAACATACATGTAGTAATTCTAATTCATTAATTTTGTTCCTAGATATATTTAAATTAACCAT